TCAGGAAGGAAAAACTTGGATGGGGTGGGGGTTTGGAGGAAGGGGTAGGGGTGGGGTTCATAATGACTGTGAGTATTGTCCCCATGACAGTAATTGTAAAAGACATTCCAGACAAGTAGAGGGATAAATGGGAATCTTGAGGCACCCCAGACTAAAATGTGGCCCTTCCAAAATCCATACCAGAACCTTATTCCAGATAGGGGTCTAATATGGAATTTATTGCAAAAACACAAAAAATGGGGGCCCCCTTCAAATCAGGAACCCGTGTTATATCAGAGCCCCCCTTTCTGATCAGAGTCCCCCTTTACACCAGGCCCCCCCTTTAAATTAGGAGCCCCTTTCACATAAGGAGCCACATCATTTCTCATCAGGTTACCCCTTCTTACAATAGAATTCCTTTTCACATCAGAGCCCCCCTTCAAATCAGGAGCTCTCCTTCACATCAAAGCCCCTTTACATTAGCAGCCTTCTTCACATCAGAGCACCCCCCCTTCAGAAGCCCCCTTTCATATCAGAGTTCCCCCTTCACATCAGGAGCCTGCCTGCCCCATGGTAAGGCATGGCACTGAGGCACCCCTAAGGAAACCAGATAACAACCCTGGTTTAGAAGGGCGGGGCTAAGGAATATGTTACCCATGTGTCCCTGTAAAGGTTGAATTTACATTGCGAGTTGTGTTTGTAGGCCAGCAGTTGTTTATCATGGCATTGCGTGTTGACGTTTTAGAGACTTCAGAGATATTCTGGGAGGTGGTGCTCCTCCATTGACTAGTAATAGTAAGTCTAGCAGAAAAAATTAAATAAGCTACACTAGTTGTAAGGTTATGTGTGAAATGGTCTTAACATATACCCAGCAAAGCTAGCTGAGGGTAGGGTTTTGTGAAGATACGTGTGATATCTAATCAGGTTATACATACCAAAAACCTGTGAGGTTCTCCTCAAATGACCACAACAGACTGGAGAGCAGTTGGGTTCAAATTTAGAGTTGGAAGGTTGTCTGCACCACCTTAATATAATTTTCCTGGTGCCTCCATGGCAGCATACCTCCGATAGCTCTGCCCCTTATCTCTGCCCACAGGACCAGTGTAAATCTAAAAGAGAGAGATACCCCCCTGCATTCTTTTTTTGTCCTCACATCTTTGGACCTACAACCAGTGTCATGTCCTCCCTACCTCTGTGTTGTTAATCGACGCAGTCCCAACTGGGTTCAAGCCTCTCCCAGGTGCAGTCCCTGTTCTCTGACTGTTCCCTGACTGCTAAATGCGTCTATGGGACTGGGAGCCCCTTCTGGCGATCTTGGGGGCTCGTTTTAAGTCCTATGCATCCTAAACAGAATGGTCAGGCATTGCAGTGATGCTCAGTCTGATGGTTACAGTCGCAGATAGTCTACAACATTTGCTGTGTTTTTCTTGCCTGTTTTTTTTGGTCTCTCTCTCACTCCTCCTCTCTTCCCTCTAGTAGGTGTGCTCTTCCTGGTCATCCTGTCTTTTTTTCCCCTCTGCCTGTTTCTGGGTCTCCTGCTTAAACTCACCTGGCAGCATTCATTCAGGCTACTTCCTAGGCACGGCGGCCCCTCTCTCTGCCTGTTTTACTGGCAGGGCTGACGACGTCAACCGCACGCAGCGGCCGACTGCCCGCGCATGCGCAGTTCAGTCTGGCGGCCGGGCGCCATTTTAGATGGGGGCAACTGCCCTGTTTGTAGTGTGGGAGGGTTATTTTCCTTGTTTAGGGCTGATTACAGGTCTGCTATATGGAGACGTCTGGCAGCATGGTGCCCTCTCTGCATGGAGCTGGTGTTCGTTTTTCTGTGCCATCAAACACTGACCTCTGCTGTTTGAGGTGAGTATGTGAGTGAGGGAAGTCCTATTCTCTTATTGCTGTCTTTATTTATTGATTTATTTATTCTTTGTGTCTACACTCCCTCTGATCCTTGTTGTAGTATCTGCCTGGTGTGGCTGTTTTTCTCCTTCGTTATGAGCCGTTCACCGCTTGTCCAAGATCTGCCAACCACCTTAAGGTAGGGGACCAACTTTTTGGTAAGTAAAAGAAAAAAAAAAGAGTGCAGTGATTGATGGACACTTTATGTCTTTTTTGTCCCCTCAGCCCATCCTGCTCTCCTTCCGCCAAGCTGTGCGCATAGCAGCAGTGCACACTCAGGCCAGTCTGTGGCCTCACACCGCCCGAGAGAACTAGAACGTTCCCCAAGGAAGAGGTCTTCAAAAAGGCGTCACCTTTCTCCATCATCTGAGCATTCACGCAGACCTAGCAAACATTCATGCAGGGAAGTTCCCCTGACAAATTGGTGTGTGCGAGCTGCCTGGGCGACATATCACGGTGCACTGGTGGCCTCATTCCTTAATGATGTCCTTCGTGAATCATTGGTGGAGTTCTAAGTCGGCCTTTCAACGCCCTTTGTGTCACAACCGCATGCATCACAAAACTCTATACTTCCGGGTCAGCTGGCTCCGGCTATTCCTCCGGTGCAGGGGTCTAGCTCAATGGATGAGCAGCAGGCGGGCGAAGACTCTGACTCTTCGTCGAATGAGGATTCGGATCCGTCTGGATTTAATTTTCCCTGGTCCAACCATATATCAGGGCAGTGTAACAGGTGATTGATTGGGAGGAGGCACCTGGTCTTTGGACGAAGCATAGGCAATTCTTCCCTTTTCTGAAGAAACAGGTGTCCTCTTTTCCATCCATGGAGGAGATTCAGGGACTTATTTCTGATGAATGGAAAAAAGTCGAGCGAAAATCTTTGGGTAATCGTCTGCATAAATTGTACCCGCTTGAAGATGCGAATGCGGTCTCCTTGGATGCCCCCCCAATAGTAGATGCCGCGGTGATGCGCTTGGGGAAGAATGTAATTCTCCCCATGGAGGACTCCACTTCCTTCAAGGACATTCTTGACAGACGAATTGACCAAGACCTCAAGAAATCCTATCAGATGGCAGGAGCGGCATGCAAACCGGCTGTGGCCCTCACCTCCGTATCCAGAGCAGTCTCTTTTTGGATCGAGAATTTAGAGGCAGCCATACAATAGGACGTCCCAAAAGATGACATTATAAAGGCCTTGGACGAATTCAAGCTGACAGCGGACTTTGTGGGCGGGGCCGCTATAGATGTTATCAGAAGTTTTGCTCGGTCTATGTTGCATCCATCACTGCAAAGCGAGCTCTTTGGCTAAAACTCTGGGTCACGGACCCGTCCTCCAAACAGGCGTGGTGCAAATTCCCTTATGATGGGAAGTCCCTGTTTGGAGAAAAACTGCAGACGGCCATCTCGTGGGTGACTGGCAGGAAGTCGGGGTTAATCCTGCAAGATCGCAAAGCTAGACGCCAGAAGGAATTTGTTGCTAGACAAACGAAGTTTAACGCTTCGAGGCCGTTTCGCCAAGGAAAGGACCAGAAGAGAGGATGGAACGGCACCCAGGCTACCTTTATGCGACAACAGAGGTAGAAGCCTGTGCTGACCCCTCCCGATTCCGCCAAGCCCTTTTGACGAATTACACGCTCAACCGGGCGCAGTAGGGGCCAGGCTTCATCGATTTGCACACGTTTGGGCAGAGTTGTGCGAGATCCGTGGGTAGTCTCAACAGTCAACCACGGCCATTACCTTCAAGTCGAGACCCCCACAGGATTCGTTTTCACCCACAAGAATTCCAACTTCGCCCCAGAGGAGAGAGGTGCTCCTACACTATCTCCATTCCCTATTGCAACAAGGTGCTGTGTCCCCAGTTCCTCACTCAGAAAGGTTTTGAATGTTTTATTTCTGGTCCGGAAAAAGACTGGCGATTGGAGACCAGTAATAGATCTAAAGCGGCTGAACATGCATATCCATTTGCAAAGATTCAAGATGGAATCACTTCAAACCATGATATAGACTATCCGCTCGGTGGACTGGATGCTATCGTAGACCTACAGGATGCGTATCTTCATGTTCCCATTCTTCCATCATTTCAAAAATACTTGAGGTTTGCAATCAGCAACCTACATCTGCAATTTGTGAGTCTACCGTTCGGCCTGTCCACCTCTCCCAGCACATTCACGAAGGTACTGATTGCCGTCCTGGCTCCTCTTCGAGAACAAGGCTTGCGTGTACACCACTACTTGGACAATATTTTACTGTTGTCCAGCGACGAAGCCGGGTTGTTGCGGCACAGGGAGATCCCCCTGTCCACTCTGGCCAAGTTCGGGTGGCTGGTCAACTTTCAAAAGAGCCAACTGGTACCCTCCCAACGAATGACCTATTTGGGAGCAAACTTCGATACCATCAGCAGTTCTGTCTCATTACCTCCTCTGAAGGCAGAGTCCTTGAAGTCCAAGGTAGAGAAGGTGATCTTCTCCACCTCCATGAGCGCCTCCCAATGTTTGAGCCTTCTCGGCTCCATGACCTCTTGCATTCCAATGGTTCCCTGGGCACACTGGCATGTATGACCTTTTCAAAGGGGTTTCCTTGTCTGATGGCGAAAGGAGTCGATGCACCAAAGAATTTTGTTCACAGTTATGAGCAGGAGCCTATGGTGGTGGCTGAACCACCGGCCGCTAGCAAGGGAGACGTCACTGTCTCCCTTGGGTGACAGTGACGTCAGACGCCAGCGCCAAAGGCTGGGGGGCTCTAAATGGGAATACCAAATTTCAGGGGAGATGGTCCTTCTAGCAGGAAAGGGATGGTGTTGAATGTCCTCGAGCTCAGGGCGGCATTCATGGCACTGACATCATTAACCCCCAGTCTGCGAGGAAAGCCTGTTGTGCTTAGGATGGACAACAGATCGACGGTGTCATATATCCAGAAGCAGGGGGGAACGCACAGCTTTTCTCTTCTCAGAGAAGTGGAGCCCATTATAGTTTGGGCGGAGAAGAACCTCCAGGAACTCAGGGCAGTATATCTCCCGGCTTGTCTGAATCTGGAAGCGGATCGTCTTTCGAGGATCTTTCTGGACCACAACGAATGGTCGCTACATTCAGACATCTTCAATCAGCTAGTCTGTCTGTGGGGCCTACCTCATGCAGATCTCTTTGCGGCCCAAGGCAACCAGAAGGTCACTCACGTCCTATCCAGGTGGCCTCATCCTGCTGCGGTTGGGGTGGATGCTCTGTCGCATCCCTGGGACTTCAGGATGGGCTGCGCTTTTTCCTCCCGGTGCCATTGATTCTCAGATTCCTAGTACGTTTATGCACAGAACAAGTGACGCTGATAGCGATTCTTCCATACTGGCCACGCAGACCCTGGTTTGCCCTGGCTCTACACCTCAGCACTTGCCCTCGGATTCCTCTGCCGATATTTCCGCAGCTCCTGTCTAAAAGGGGATCGTATCATCCATGTCCAGGCAAGCTGTCCCTTCATGCTTGGAGGTTAAGAGGTGGCAACTAGAAGCTTCAAGGTGTTCCTCGGCAGTTATAGAGACCTTGCTAAAGTGCAGAAAAAGCTCTACTACGAACACGTATGACAGGATTTGGTGGAAGTTCTCAGACTTTGCCGCTGAGAAAGGGATTGATCCAGCTCTTCCTCCCGCTTTACATCTCTTGGCTTTTCTGCAAAAGGGGCTGGATATTGGACTGAGTCTAAGTTCCTTAAAAAGTTCAGATCTCGGCCATCCCAGCAGTCACGAAAATCAAGTGGGCGGACCAGGCATTAATGGTCCAGTTCCTTAAAGCAGTTCTCAAAATCCATCCTCCCAGAAGACACTGTTTTCCCCAATGGGATATGTTAGCAAAACCACCTTTTGCCCCTTCTGCATATGTTAGCAAAACCACATTTTGCCCCTACAGAAAAGGGCTCATTGTGGGACACTACCTTGAAGGCGGTCTTTCTGGTGGCGATGACCTCGGGAGGCCGAGTTTCGAAGATCCAGGCCTTGGGCACCAGGGACCCTTTCTCGTGTTTTTCAAGGAAAGAGTGGAGTTACGTGCTCTCCCTCACTTTCTTCCTAAAGTAGTGTCTCCTTTCCATCTGGCACAGGAATGGGTCTTGCCATCATTCACAGACTGTCCACAAGGATTAGAATTGCATGAACTAGATGTGGCTAGAGCTCTGCAGTACTATCTGAATCTGACAGACTCCTTCAGGTTAGCAGAGCATCTTTTCGTAATTCCCAGAGGCAAGTTCACGGGGAAAGAGGCGAAGTCCAGAACTATCTCCTCCTGGATTGTTTAAGTGATTGGGAGAGCTTACAGACAAGCGGGCAGGCAATCACCCGGGCGGGTAACGGCTCACTCTACAAGGGGCTCTCGGACAAGGGTGCTGATCAAAACTATTTGTAAAGCTGCCAGCTGGTCGTCACGGCACACCTTTATCAGCCACTACAGGATCGACCCAGGGGTCCTGACTAGTGATGGGCTCGGGCGTGTTTGCAGCTCCACGTGCCGAGCCCGCCAGGATGCTGGCAGCGCCAATCACAGGCACCGAGACATTTCCCGATCTCTGCAGCTGCGGACCGGGAACATGTCTCAGTACCTGTGATTGGCGCTGCGCACGCAGCTTCCTGGCGGGCTCGGCATGTGGAGCTGCGAACACGCCCAAGCCCATCACTGGTCCTGACTACCGTGGACTTTGGCAGACAAGCCATCCAGGCTCCTTTTGTTCAATAAATATATTGCAGCTACCCACCCTGTCAGCTCGTTATTTATCAAAGGTATGCTGCCATGGAGGCACCAGGAAAACAGAAAATTGTATCATACTTGCCAGTAATTTTCCTTTCCTGGTGCCTATCCATGGCAGCACAGCTACCCTCCCGTTCTGATGTGATATAGTTATAAGAATGCAGGGGGGTCTCTCTCTCTCTCTCTTTTATACATTTACACTGGTCCTGTGGGCAGGGATAAGGGGCGGAGCTATCAAAGGTATGCTGCCATGGATAGGCACCAGGAAAGGAAAATTACTGGTAAGTATGATACAATTTTCAGTTTTTTGGGAGCTTTCCCAATGGTAGGCATTTGTTTTTTACATTTACAATTACACAATTAAAGATACTTGCCTGAGTGTGCTCATGGGCTAGAAGGCTGAAGTTTGTCACACACATTATAATCTGATTGCGCAATCGTTGTACAATTCTCTTTAGATTTACCAATAACTGTGTTATAAAGAATTAGTCTAGACCATCCATTCAGATAACCGTGATTTTTTTAATGCAAAGTTGAGCATGGATGTTGCTTTATAGGCCCTTTAAACATTTTCATGGTGGATTCCATCTGCTGGATGGTCATGATTGTGGCTTCACTGGCATCATCTGCATTTTCATTCAGGAGTTGGTTGTGATATTCCATCCAGTGGCCTTTTAGACCTGGTTCACACCTTGGCGTTATTGAGCAGTAGAAAAAGCACTTTTAAACACCAAACACAAGAAATTCCATGATTTGCAATGGCCCATTTTCACACCTGAGCAGCAAAACACAGAAAACAATACATGAGCTTTTTTGGCATGTTCAAGCTTTTTACCCATAGACCTCAAAGGAAAGACCAGGGAACGCACGGCAAAAGCATGTTGCACATTTTCATTTGCGTTTGTATGTGCGGTCATCCATTTCTTGAGATGCCAGTCAAAACACATATTCATGTGCGCCTTTTCACATGCATAAAAATGTGCCAAACGTGCAAAAAAACACACGCCGGACCCACGCATACAAACGCACAAAAAACAATGCCGCATTGGTGTTACATTTTTGTGGAACAGGAGTGTCTGATTATCCCAGCTGCTCATCAATCTCTCTGTCAGAATACCTGATCAAAGCAGGCAGCTCATTGCCCGCTCTGATCAATCGAAAATTCTCCAGCCAATTCCTTCGATCAGCTGATCGAGGAATGCCTGCTAAAAGGGAGCCGGCAGCCCCACACACTGTGCGAATTTCGGGCGGTACATTAAAAACCAACCAAAATTCGACCAGTGGATGGGCACCTTTAGATGGGATGGCTGTATTAGTTTTTTCTTTTTTTAGGCTTTTTACCTTTTATTTTCACCTGTTGATCTGGCCAGTAAGTTACTTTTTAACTTCCTTTAAAGAAGAACTATGAGTCGAGTGAAAATCACTCAGCCTCATAGTTCGAGCCGACGTGTGACAATGAAACTGTCACACGTCGACTCAATAGATGGGGAAGTGAGCGAACACATACCATCGCTCGCTCACTTCTCGATCCTGTGCCTGCAGAGAGCCGTGACTCACGGCTCCCTGCAGGGATCCCCTCCCCTGTCCGATCCTCCAGCACTGACTGGCGGAATGGACGGGGGAGGGGGCAGGTACAGCTGGCTTTGCCTCTAGATAGGCAGAGCCAGCTGTCACTCACGCAGCTGGGTGGATCCAGACAGTATTGTCGGGATCCGTCCCGGCTGCGGCATCTCAGTATACTGAGCTTAGGGTGACGGGAGGACGCTAGTTTGTGTCCTCCCGTGACCCTTAAAGGAGAACTATGAGGTGAGTGCTTTTCACTCACTTCATAGTTCTAGCCGACCTGTGACAATGAGTCTGTCACAGGTCGGCTCAGTAGATCGGGAAGTGAGCGAACACATACCAGCATTCGCTCACTTCTCGATCCTGTCACGGCTCTCTGCCATGACAGGGGAGTTGCTGGATTCCCCCCTCCGATCCGCGTTAAGAGATCCAATCCAGTTAAGAGATCCGATCCAGTTAAGAGAACTATGGGGTTAGGGCTTTTGCCCATAGTTCTCCTTAGGGTAACGGGAGGACACAAACTAGCTTCCTCCCGTCACCCTAAGCTCAGTATACTGAGACGCCGCAGCTGAAGCGGATCCCGACAATTATGTCGGCATCCGCCCGGCTGCATGAGTGACAGCTGGCTCTGCCTATCTAGAGGCAGAGCCAGCTGTACCTGCCCCCTTCCCCGTCCGTTCTGCCAGTCAACAGGCCCTTAAAGGAGAACTATGGGGTTAGGGCTTTTGCCCATAGTTCTCCTTAGGGTAACGGGAGGACACAAACTAGCTTCCTCCCGTCACCCTAAGCTCAGTATACTGACCCCATAGTTTTCCTTTAACAGGCCAAGCTACCCAGTAACAGTGGCAGGTAGAGGGTTGAGACATTTAACTCTGACAGGGGCACTTACAATGATCCTGGAATCCTTTTTACGCTCAATCCCAATAAAAAGGCAAATTGCCTTGTTTACAGTTAGCCCAGTTTACACCACTGCGGTGCACGGTATGTAGTACTTTGTTTTCAGCGCATCATGGTGCAACACAGTATAACCTCATGGCACTGTGCACAGGTTGCAGAACTGAAGGAAATGTCACATTTCATTTAAATAACGTTCTAAAAAAGAAGTAAACAGTGCGATGCATCGGGATCAGCACATCAGCACTGTTTCTGTCAGCACACACCGGCGGCCTTGCGTTTTGTGGTGTAGATAGATTTTTAACCTAAAATAACGGTGACCATACAACAAGGACTGTTTAGTAAAGCCACATGTAAAATGTCTAATTTTATTAGCAACTCTATGATTTAATCTACATTTATTTGAAGTCTTATATTAGAATGCATTTTCCAAAATAATTTAAGAGCTTCAGAATATGGAAACCACTAACTATATATTTAATTTCCACGTTTGATTGATTCTTTAGTTGGAATTTCCAAATACAACCCACAAGGCAGACAAGACCTATCATTTACATACAAACTAGCTGCCTTCATTGAAGAGGAAGCCATGTTCAATATTAATGAGAATGTAGATTAGTTTGTAAGAAATTTGTGACGTCACTGTGCTGAATTGTGGTCATTGTGGTCACCGTCAATGAACTGGTAGGTTGAACATTCCACGAATTTTCGATATGTGGGTTCTTGTGTGTAAATGTATATTAACAATCAGTACAGAAGTCCTGTTTCCATACGCAGATGGAAATGTCTCTGTTTAAAAGGAATATTGCCTAGAGGCAGACACAGGCTGCAGGAATACAACTCAAACTCTTTCTGTCCATGAGTCTCATTAAGACGTGAGGTTCCCTTCCACCTTCTACTCCTTCTGTCTGCTCAGAATAAAGTGGAACTATGGACAAAGTAAAAATATAATGACATACAGTGCATTCAGGAATTTTTCAGACCCCCTTCACATTTTTCAATTTTGTTATGTTGCAGTGTGATACTGCACTTCTTTCAATCCTTTTTTTTCTTATGAATCTACACTCAGTGCCCCATAATGACAAAGTGAAAACAGAATTTTAGGAATGTCTGTGAATTTATTTAAAAAAAAAAATTAAATATCACATGTACTTAAGTATTCACACCCTTTACTCAGTACTTTGTTGAAGCAGCTTTGGAAGCAATTACAGCTCCGAGTCTTTTTGGGTATGACGCCACAAGCTTTGCACACCTGCATTGGGGGATGTTCTGCCATTCCTCTTTGCAAATCCTTCCAAGCTCAGTCAGGTTGGATGGGGACCGTCAGGGGACAACCATTTTCAGGTCTCCCCAGAGATGTCCATTAGGGTTAAGTGAATAGTAGAGATGAATACTTTCTGAATGTGCTGTAAATGCTGCATTTTGTCCTTTAACATTAACACAGTCCCTCCCTGTAACATAGTTTTATTACCTGTTGATCTTACCAGTTGATCCATAATTGTTACACTTACTTTAAGAGGGTGACAACACTGTTCATTGTACATTGTCCTATGTCATCCTGTGAACAGGGTAGTCTTAAATGGACAGAGGAAAATGAAAGTCCATCTCTACCGAACACCTTTCAACAGCCACAGCAACAGGTTTTTTTTTAAAGTTTTAAACAATATGAATAAAAGCTGACCAATGTGCGCACTCCTGACAGTGTTATATGGTTTGTTGGTTTCCCCCAACCCCTGTAACTGTCAGGGTCAACAGATAAAGATAGTTAGACAGACAGACAGTGAAGGAGAAGAGGCACTCACAGGTCCTTTGATGAGGAAACATGGATACATTAATTGGGCTGGTATGCTGATACCAACCCAGTAAATATAGTCTATCTCATGTTGCCTCATCACAAGACCCCTGATTGCCTGGTTTCCTTCACTGTCTTTATCTAATTGCCTTTATCTAGAGTGCACCCGGGCAGCTCTTTACTCTTAAAGTGACACTAAACTCAGGAGTTAAATCTTAAAATGCATTTAAGTACCTTTAACTATTAACAATAATGTATCTCTTTTGTGTATCACTCTGCTGTAGATGCTCCAATCATCTCTAAATTGGTGCTTTATATGTGTTATACTTTATATGTGTTATATGATCTCATCAGGGCAGCCTTCAGAAATTTCGGGGCCCCTTACACGGCTTTAGGTCGGG